TAGTTGACTGCCTCTGTCTGAAAGAATGATTCTCATCAAATGCTTCTGCATTTTAAAATTCCTGCGTGCAACGTTCAATTCACGCAATAGTGATGCCTTCGGGGCGTGGCAGCCGCCCATAAGCAGCGAACTTGACAGTTGCTGATGGATATGTTGTTGTTGTTGTTGTTGTTGCTATTGCAGGTGGAGCTGTTGCTGTTGCTGCTGTTATTGCATTTGTTGTTGTTGCCGCCGCTATTGCTATTGTTGTTGCTGATAGATTTGTTGTTGTGGTATTCTGTTGCTAATATTGCTTTTGTTTTGCTGTTGATACCGCTGTTATTGCTGTTGTTGTTGCTGACTGAGCTGATGTTTTGATATTCTGTTACTGCTACTGCTTTGGCTATTGTTTTGCTGTTGTTGTTTTTCTGCTGCCCTGTTGATGTTGAAGTTGCTGTCGCTGCTGATATTGTTGTAGCTTCTGTTTTGATGATTGTAGTTGTTAATGGAAACTTTGTTTTTGCTGTTGCTGTTATAGCTGCTGCTGCTGATGTTGCTGTCGACGCACTTGTTGCTGCCGCTGCTTATTAATTTCCTTAACAACGCAGCAGCAACAACAAGAACAACGACAACGAACAGCAAAAGCTACAGCGTTTACATATTTGTACATGTGCCCTTTCATTGAAAAATTCTTGAGCCAGCAAGCAGAAAGCGGCGAAATGGTAGAACAATAACAACAAGTTTTCTATTAGCAAGAACAACAACAATATTTGCTGCAGCTGTCATCAACTCGAGCTGACGTAAAAGAAAATGTATGCAACAAATTGTAGGAAAATGTCATAAAATTAATGGGCCAAAGGCAGGCAATCAGGGCGCATCCATTTTAATGAGAAGGAGCATTTGTTTATTTTTCCCTCGTGTTTATGTCTGTGACACATTAGCGAAATTGCGTTAAATCATTTTTGTGTTGCGGCTATAAATTTAACGTTGCATTAACCTAAGCGAAGGACAACAGCTAATGAGCAAAAGTTTAAAGTCGCTGCTGCGCCCCTTGGCCTGGGACGGGACGGAAGGGGAGGGGGACGGGGGGTGAGCATTCAGTGTCGTTCATTTGCAATCATTTGGCAGCCGTGACTTTCGGTTACATTCCAGAACGGAAACAACCAGACGCTTGCTAACTTCCGGCCGACTGTGAGGCCAAAGTCGTTGAGAATTTTAACATTTCAACTTGGCACATTTGGAGAATTATTCAAATTCTTGTCACTGCAACACGCAAAAAGCACAAAAAATAAAGGCAACGCAAAAAATATATATGTGTATATATGTTAAGACAGCAGGCGAAATAAAAGCAAAGGCAGCCGGCTATAAGAATTGCCAAAAGATTTATGCCAGTTCGCATACAGGCAACTGGCAACTGGCAACAAAGTTAAAAGCGCAAATAAAATGTTTGCTCACATTTTTGTAATTTCGAGAAAATTGCACGTTTATTGCCGCATCGCATGCTTGTCTCTGGCTTCAACTTTAAATTCAGCACGGGCAAAGCGGAGGCAGACACTGAGTTGAAGAGCAGAAGAAATTTCCTTTTACCCTATCTGCATATCTACACGCCACGCATTGAATAATTAATATTGCGCATACGACGTGTTGCCATCACGTAATGACGCAACACTGTGCAGCTATGTGCCATTTACAACACTGACTGCTCCCGTCACATTATTGTGATAATCAGCGCAGACAACTTGCAGTTGCGTTAACTTAAGATGCGTAGTTATTAGTTATGACATTTCAAAAAAGGCTGTTAACGGCGTTGGGTAATTTAAAGTGTGCGGCAAGTACGTAAAAGAAAACAATCCCTTTCTTAAGTGAGATGTATCTGCTCTTAAGTCATGTAGGCAGGTATCCGAATATTTAAATCTCCAAATTTTTGTGCCTTTTCGGACTCCTTAGGATCAGGGAAAAAAAGTGCACATATATAAAAGCGAGATAATATATAAATTTCTTACAAACAGTACTTAATGGTCAAGGAACAGATATAAACTACACTACAAAGATAAGTGTTTATGGATATAGGGTATACCCAAGTTGAGCAGCCTCTAGAGCTGCCACACACACACATCACAGTAATATTTGCCTGATAAAGCTGATAAGCTACCAAATTGGTTTCCGTCAGCTGTGTAGTGTTTAGGACTATCTGAACTGTTGCATGAAATACAAAATCATAATTTACGCTAAGCTGACAACCCTAGCTACTCGTCCATGAAGTTGCCAACACTGTCAAATGCTTGATTGTAAATTATTTAAAGCCACATAAATCAAAGAACACAAAAGCATTTCAAATGTGTGAGGAGGCGACAACATAAACATGAACTTCAAGCCGCCCACTGTGCCACACACACCCATCCATCTACTTATGCGCACAATAACAACAGTAATAGGTAGACCCACAATAACGATTGGGGCAGCGACAACATATTTGTCAACGAACCGCGTAAATGGCAAGCGTTGAGTTCGAGCTGTAACATTTTGGCATTACATCAATGCAACTGGGGCTCGGGCGAACTCCCAAGCGGGGGTCTGGTCTATAGAATAGGAATTACCATGTCATGCATGCAAATTGGCAAAAACGGAAGAAAACTTAACAACGACTCCGACGAGCTTCAGTTGAAGCAACGGAAACTGATGATGCGCTTGCCAGGTGCTGCTTCAAAGCGCGCCAGGTGAATCAATTGCGGTTAACGGGCGGGGCAAACAGGGTTTCAAGTTGTTGAGTCGTTGAGTCACGCTATGAGCCAATAAATAATCAATAGTTATCAATATTTGCATACACATATTCGATTTTATTTCATGGTGAATAAATGTTAATAAAAGCAGGTTTTACTCTACTTAACGTCTTTGAGTAGTTACAAATAATGTACAGTGATAATGTGTGCTGAAAAGGAATCGATAATTATCGATATTTACTCATCGATTCTTCTGTGTTTTACCAATTAATATTATTATTGAAAGCATTATATAATCGAAATAATGGATTAAACTTCGATAACAGTTGATTTTTAAATGTCTTTGATACACTTTCAATATATTTACAGTCGATCGGCTTTTTTTGAAAAGTTCGTCAATTGTCGATAGTATTTGAAATTTGCGTACATTCGATAATTACACAAGTCTGTGCGGTGGAATGTCTGCTGAAAAATATTTGATTATCGATATAGCAATTCAATCGATTTTTTCTTAACTTAGGTAAAACTATCGATAACAATCTCATATTAACCGAATAAATACAAAATGTTCCTTAAAAGGAACAAATTTATTTCTGACTTACGGTAAACATTCGTCAGTTTATCAAGAACGGATTGAGATCAAATGATTGAGATTTACTGTCGGGATTTATGGGCCTTTTACAGAATTGCATAAGTAACCACAAGAAGTTAATTGCGACAATCGATAAAAGTCAAGCGAATCTGCTGCATTAATCGATGGCATTTATCGAGCATTTAAGCCGGCTTCAAAAGGACTGCCGAGTGCTTAATTGAGAACAATTAATTTCGAGTAATGCGTACAACAATTGTTTATTGAATACGGTGTCGAGTAGTTCGTGGCCGTTTCCGGAACAGTTGCTGCAGTTCATTTGTCAATGTCAATTTTAAAGCCAATTTTAAAATGTTGTGCCACAAAATTTAATAAAATTGACTCCTTGCCACTTTGTTGTTCTCGTGCTGCCAGCAACTGTTGTTGTTGATGTTATTGTTGTTGTTTTTGTTGCATGAGCAGAGTACGTGCTGTTTGTTTTGTTGTTGGGCACCCTTTACCCTCTCTCTCTCTCCTTACCCCCGCACTCTCCTTGTCCTTATCTTCGGCACTAGTCGCTTGGCTGTGGTTCAAGAAACTCACAAGTGACACTTGCACGAAAGATAAATGCGAACGTAACTTTTGCCATCAAATGTTGCCAATCTATGCGCACTCCTTCTGTGTCCTTCGTCCTGCATCCAGCTTCCTGCCTCCTGCAGCGACGGTGCCTCTCTCTTTCTGCTAAGCCAAGGCTCTGCCTTCGTTGAAGCCTCCTGCACAGCAAGAATCCCTCAACTGCTTTGGCTGCATTTGGACTCTGGTCCCTTCACCTTTTCGTTCATGCAGCACTTGGGTCAGGCCAGGCCAGTACAGTCGTCCTTTTTTGCCTCCCTGTTGCGCGTCAAGTGTTCGACAAAGGAGGAAGTCACATTTACTTACTGATTTATGGGCGCATCCGTTTTGCCAGCGTTTTATCTGTTAACTTTTCGGCGCAATCATTTCCAGTCAAAATATTTTCCAAAAGACCCCCAAAAATACTTTCAACCTGAACTCCCCATATAATAGTTGCTCTGTGGTTATTTCCCTAGGCAATGGCCAGCAATGCCCGACAACGACTCGTTAATCAATGACACTACGTTTATCTTTAACGTCTGCCCATAAATTTCACACTACAAAATTGCAAATCTTTGACAAACAACACACACACGCACACACCAGTACGCCACACCTCCGGCTACACCCCCTAAAATTTGTTTTGGGTAAAGGGATTTTCAGTTTAGTCAGCTATTTTACATATTTAAAACTTGCCTTCAAACTTGTCAGTTGGGGTATTTAGCTGAGCAATTTATTGTAGTATTCGTAGAAATGTATGTAAGCATTGGCTTAAATGTGAATCTGTTATTATAGGAAAAAGTTTTCTTTTTACAGATATCATGAGGAAACTTTGCTGAGATAATTGTTGTTCTCATTATCAATATTTATTTAATATTTTTATTATTTTTCAGGGTCCAATATGCAATATAGAAAATAAAAATATTTTTTTTGTTTTCTTTTAACTAAATATTAGATGTTTATTAAACGGCATTTAAGGTTGCTAATGGCCTTTAGTTAAGCTCGCTAGGTTTTTATTGAAAAACTAGTTTGGATTTGTTATGTTTCCTGAGGAGAGGTGGCTTCCTCTGGGGATGGTGGGCGAAGTTGGGGGTGGAGTATCTGGGCAAGAGTTTTTCCTCTTAATCTCCTGATGGGACGGGCACCTTAAATAATGCTTGCGAGCCTATTGTTGTATAGGGAATGGATATTAATATTATTATCATTAATTTTTTTATTATAAGAATTACTTATTCCTAGGAGAATAATATAAAAATAATTATTTTTTGTAGAATTTTTAGTAGGTTTACGAAAAAACTGTATCTGTTTCAAAGTAGTTTCAGTTTTTCATATCGATTAAGGGCATTCAATCTTCTGCAATATTTTTCCTACCTTCTGCTTTGCTAATTTGATTAAAAAGTAAGTTCAATTTGGCGAACTTCTCTCTACGGCACTCGAGTGCCTGTGCTCACATGGGTCTCAAAGGTAGACAGACATTCATTTGTATTTGGCTAAATAATTTAGCAAATATGTTTGCCCCTTTGCTTGTTTCGAGTGGCCTGCGGATAGGTTGAAATTAAAGGCAAACCGCCTGTGCTGGCCAACCGAACCGGAAGTTGCCCGGGCTGGCAGTCAATATGCTGCTCTACGACTTTTAGTTGCTATGATTTCAATTATCATATTGTTATTTTTATGTGGCAAAAAATTTTAAAAAGACTGCTTGGAGGGGCTTATGGTTGTTTGTGGAGCATTTAAGATAAACATAATATGTTTGAGCTCAACAAATGAAGCTGTGCTCTGTGCTTACCAAACAATATTTTGATTTAATTTACCGTGTGATAGGGCCGCTCGGGACCACAAGGCCCACAGGGCGTATACGCAATGAGTTCCAAGGGATTTACTCGTTTGGTTTGCCGACTGCGTCGCCAGCCAGCTAATTAATATTAAATCCGTTTGGTTGAACGGCATTGAAATGCCAAAAGCAAACGGTTTCAGTTTGTCCAGCTACGCCCCAGCCTAAATAGACCCCTTTCCCCCTCACGGGCCAAAGGCGTGCCTGGTTAAGGGTGAGGGTCGGTTGATTTGTTTCTGTTTCATGTCGCGTTTTATTCAATGTATGTAATTATTTTACGGCTGTGTGAGCACTGGACATGGACATGAACTCGGCCAAGCCGATTGCGTGCCAAAGTATTTAAGCCCATTACGAAGTGGGCGTGTGCTAGAGGGCGGTGGCTGCTAGTACGTGTTCTGAATGTGCTCTAATGAGGGAGGCGTTGAAATAAATTTGTATTAAACGCATGTAGCCAGCACATAATTCATATAAATTATATTTACTATTCAAATTTAAGTATTATATACATCGCCCTTACACACACATACGCACGCACACACTCACACACACACACACATACACACAATTGCACTCGCATTACGCATACGCCGCGTATGCCCCAAATAACACACATGCGTAGTTACAATTGATGCTGATTACTATGCGAATCACATGCCGTACGAAAACTAATTAAAATGTTTATTAACTTTGCAATTATCACACCTTTACCTACGTGATTTGTACAGCAACAACAGCTGAAGATAGATGTGCACTTGACAGTCAGTTGTCAACATGTCAGATTAGAATGTTAGCCAAAAGGTTATTTACAACAATTCTGTGATATTTTTAATAATAATTATGCATATTTACATCTACCTGTGTTTGTACTCCACATAAGCTATCAATTTATTCAAATATTTTTAAATAATTGTTACATATTATGTGGCATTGTGACATTGTGGGATATTTTGAAAGGAAATAAAAGTAGAAAATAACAAAATGTATCTCGTTTAATCAGACTCTAAAATATATGTTTCCAAAAAATTTGATTATTTTACTGGCATTCAAGTACTTAATGCCATTAAATTATAATTATAATAACAATCTCTGTTAGCGCTAATAATATATAAATATGTTAAAATATTCATGTCTCTTCAAAATACAGGTCGGTTTCTGTTTGTGCATATTTAAATGAAATAATTCCAAATTGAATGAGGCTTAAAATATCGATGAACGAATACGCCGCATATGGCAGCATTCTAACAAAATAATCCACAAGCTATTTACATACTGATGAAATTAACACAAATTACTGAATTGTAAATTTCAATTTTTAATAACTTCATTTTTATATAGTTAAACTCTTTTATAGTGATTTATTTTATTTTGTCTGTCCTTATACTAAAACTGTTATCAAGTCTAGAGTCGACCTTTTACATGTCCTGTCAAAGGCAGACGCGCAGTTGCCCCCACGCCTACCAAAACGCTCCGCCAATAAATAGGTGCGATCCTTGCGCCTTTCCAGCAGATCCTTCGTGCTCGACGGCGTTAAGAGGATATGCAGCAGCTCAGCCAGCAAGCCGCTTTCATGACTGAAAGGCAGCGCCGCGTGCTCGCAGATCACACGCAGCAGGCAGCTGTGTCCAGGCAAATTCATGCTTTGTAAAACCATCTCAATGCCACGATAGAATATCCAGCGATAAACTGAACCCAAGTTTAATTCATCTTTAATACATTTTCTATCCGTTATGGGCTGTGGCTTTAGATAGACGCGTGTAATCTCCGTCGCATTGTTGGGCAGAAAGTATTGCATCCGGAGCGCATAGCCAGAGACAACAGACTCAAAGGGTAAATCCTCGACAGGAATGCCAATGGCGCAGAGGAATGTAATCGGTGAGGGTGCAATCTTTGGATAGATCATTGTACTACTGGCCACAGCAGCTAATGATATTAGGGCAGTTGCTGGTTTCACGATATGCTCCATTGAAGATCTCGCCAAGAACTAAGCGTTAAGAGCTCTAACTTTTATAGTTTTCTTTCGATTTAAAAAGTTCTCAAATGCATTTACACCTATTTCATCTAATATTTCAAATTAACAAACGATACATTGTGTAAAATTTCTTGTATAAAAGATTAATGCTAGCGCAGAGAAATTTCTTTATTTGTCCAACAAATTTGAGCAGTCAAGTGACGACAGGCATGTCAATATTTGGATATGGAATTATGGTTAATGCCAAGTTTTAAGTACACATTAAGAGTGCGTATTGCTAGAATAAATCCACCCACAGCTGCTATGAATAAACCTCTAAATTTGGTCAGATAATATGTTTTTGCTGTAACTCATATTTTTACAAATAATTGGCCACCAAGCTGCTGTCTCTTTTTATTTGGGGTATTTTGAGAATTGTAAACTGTCATCGATAAAAACAGATATTTGTTTTATAAGACTGTCTTGATGATCTTTTTAGCTATAAAGTTCTGTTTTCTTTTGGCTTATTCTCGATCCTAAACACCCTGCAACTGGAACACTGAACAACGTTCTTTCCGATAATGCATTTGATTTCACTTTAATACAAATTTACACAGTCACAGCAACACTGTGATCAGTTCCATGGGAGAACTTGGACATTTACGGCCATAGGCAGCCGCACAGTTGGCGCCACGTTTGCCAAAACGTTCCGCCACCAAATACTCGCGTTCGGTGTGCAGGGCATCGTGATCCGAGGAGCTGGAAGGAGTCAGAACAATGTGCAGCAGCTCACCCAGCAAACCACTTTCGTGACTCAAAGGCAGCGCCGCGTGCTCACAGATCACGCGCAGCAGGCAGCTGCGTCCAGGCAGATTTATGTTCTGTAAAACCATCTCGATGCCTCGATATATGACCCAGCGATACATGGAAGCCATGTTGGATGGCTGTTCCATAGCTTCCATATGCTTTCTGGCCGTTATGGGCTGCGGCTTCATGTAGACTCTGGTGATCTCATCCGCATTGGTGGGCAGAAAGTATTCCGTCTTCAGCACATAGCCCGAGGTGACCGACTCAAAATGCAATTCTTCCACTGGTATGCCGATGCCGCCAATGAACTGGACACGCGTCGGGGAGGTAGCTGGAAATATCAGCGATCTGCTGAAGCGTTTCAGGTGATCAACTTGATAGCTACTCAAGCTGCTGGCCAGTGTGAAGGCTGTCAAATAATAGCAAACGAAAATTGCTCTCAACATGATAGCAGAGCCTCTATACGGTCGAAGATCTTATGTAGAACTGAGCCAGTCGAAGAACCCAAGAATTCTCACACTTTGCAGTCACTTTATTTGTTTACACAGTGGGGCGAGAGAGAGGTACTTAAATCAGTTCAATTAGCAACCACTTGACAGCTTGTGACTCGGTCAACCAGTTAAATCGTTGATCTACTTAAAACCCATTTCACTAAAGCTCACAATAATGTGACAAAGGGCTTCATAAATGGGTTTTTGTACGAGAATTAACATTGCATGTGCTAAACGTCCTCTATAAGAAGGAAATGGTAAACATTTTGTTTGAAGTGTGTCTTTGTTTACCAAACTGAAAGTACAATATATATTGTGTACTTGACCATGATACGGCTAACGCTAATGATTGGAATTTTTTTTTGGGATCAAAGCAAGACTAAGCGTGCTTTAAGTATGATTAAATAGATTTGCGAAGGATAAATAATTCAGTTGAAATACTAATTTGCTTTATTTAGTTACTAAATCAATTTTATATTCCTGTATTTCATTGCCTTTATGCCAGTTAGTTCAGCTATTTACTTCACTTAACTCTAATATCTAATAGGACATGTAATTGATTATTATAATTATATTACATAAAACATTTTTATACCCTGAACCCATTAAAAATGGGTATAAGGGTATATTGTGTTTGTGCAAAATCCAAATGTATGTAACAGGCAGAAGGAAGCTTCTCCGACCCCATAAAGTATATATATAGCCGAGTCGATCTAGCCATGCCCGTCTGTCTGTCCGTCCGTCCGTCCGTATGTATGAACGCAAGGATCTCAGAACCTATAAGATATACAGAAATTTTAGATGTAGGTGCTCCTAGATCCTGCGCAGATCGAGTTTTTTTCCGATAATCGATAACTTACTCCGTTTCCAAGCAATCGATAAAAATAGATATCGATATCCTGTTTTTTGGGCAATTTTGGTAAATAATAAGAGCTAGAGTCACCAAACTTGACATATAGCTTCTAAAATAGAATATATATATATATTTGATGTTGGAAGAAGAGGGTTCTAGAGGGACTAGAACCTCTTACTTGTTAGCTTTATAAGCTTGCAGCAAACAAATTCTTTTAATATGCGCACGTTTTTGAGACTAACTGTCTCAAGAGGCTCGGCTTGAGCCAGCTCTATATTTTCAGATGTTTTCGCTTGATTGGCGCAGATTTGCAGCTTCGTGTGCTTAGCTGTTGCCAACTGTAAATAGGGACCCGTATTACAGCCAACAGTAACTCGACTCGCACAATTACGCCTGGCCCCAGCGCCAGTCCCTCAATCTGCTCTCTATGGTTAAATAAAGCGTACAAATGCACGAACCAAAGGATCTCGCAATGTATACATCTTGGAAATTGTATAAAATGTGTGTGAGCATTGGCATTAAAACACTAAGCGCCAAGCTCAGCGTGTGGGATGACTATACCGCCAGGATTTAAGCGCTCTGATTCTACTCCTTTTTACTCCATTTTTTTATTTTTTTGAGGATTGTAAAGGAGTGCAGAGAAGTGCGGAAGTTATGCCGACAACGACTTGAGTAAGTTAAGTGAATTGCTGTTGCATCAAGAAGTGCAAAGGAAATGCGCCACAAGGCAGGCATGGAACTGAGAATGGGGCAGAGATTAAAGAACAGCATGGAATGGAAAGCGGAATACAAGAAAGCGCCCAGTTCTAGGACGGCAAAAGGACGACGCATAAAAATAGATGACGTTTAAGTGAACGACGGTAAATGCATTTCTGCAGAGCCAGCTTACGACAGGACACGGAATATGTATGTTTATAGTACTATCTGCAACAACAGCAAATAAAGGCGGCTATTTATTAAATAAACGAAACAGAAGCTGAAATGCTGCACGGTCTTCATGAATCATCTTTAAGATGCACACAAATATACTCAAGTGAGCACACATAAAGAGAGCTTTAAATGAAAACATTTAAAGGCTTTTTCTTAAAATATATATTTGGGTTAAGTTTTCAATAGGCTTAAGCTAGTTCGTTCAGGAATATGAACATTTTAGTTTTCTTTATTTTATCAAGAAGGAATAAACAAGTTGAAAGAAAAAGAAAAAAGTGAGCCGTTTGCCTGTTGTGCTATTTTAAGAAGCTTACTATAGAATCAAAGCTTGCTGCTGTCTGGTCAGTCATGGGAAGCCAAAACTCGCTGTGAATTATAACGGCTTTAGCGAGAAAATCAGACAAAGTTTATGTGCTATGAAAAGCATGAACATTATTTTCAATTAATTGATATCCTAAAACATATTCTACATCAAATATTTGGATCAATAGTCCATTTGCTGTCCCCATTCGTTTAAGTATTAGTTATAGCCAAATTGTGATCATCTAATTATGATTACATTTTATTTATTTGTATGTACTTGCCAGTAATCAGTATTTGCCCTAATCAGATACATAAACAGGCAATGCGCCAAACTAAGTGCCAAATGAAAATTCGCAAATTTGTAATTCGGCAAACCAAAATGGGAGACCAACTTTGGCAAAAGCCGAGCAACAATATTGGACGAGGCGAAACTTTTGCTGCAACACTTTGAACTTGGCTTGCAAGTGGCAGTGGCAAGTGGCATGCGGCATGCGGCAAGTGGAACATTTTATGTGGCTCTTTAGACTCCGCAAAGTTCATGCAGCGCGCAACTTGCCGCCGGGCCAAAGTTTGCACAGTGGGTTCAGCTCGGCGTATGCAAATTGCAATTTGAATGGCATCCGAATGTCCAAAGGCAGCGAGTCCTGTCAAAATAGCTCAAGACTCTGAAAGTTGACAAAATCAATTAAACTGCAAATGGGCAATTGCCGCAAAGTAATTGATGAGCCATTGACAGTTGTTGCAACAACAGCTTTAAAACTACATGCAACTTGGGGCAAGTCTAAGACAAGTTGGGTGTGCCCGACTAGAAGACGCCCTACACGCAGCACCGAATTGCTGTATCGTCAAAATATGAGGTTGTTATCGTTATTTATCTGATCTGCGTGCGCCTTAGAAAATATATCTGATATGAAGGTTAAGATTTTATAGTTTCTGTGGTCGTACATAGTACGAACGAACGGAATGATATATGATATACTTAATACAATATATGCATGTTACATACACTCATACAAAACCAGAATACTTTCCATTTACCATGGCTACTGGGTATAATGATGAAAACGTTTAAGAAACTGCAACACTCAAGCAGTTAAGGTTTTGTATGTGCGTGCGATGGTGTCGTTGTGTGTGTGCGTGGTTGTGTGTGTGGGTGTGTGAGTGTGTGCCCAGCCGCATCTTGACCTCATAGTTGCCTTAAGAATTGCCACTTGCCGGCACATGTGAAGCATAAATCCTTTTGCAACGTCTGGCAAATAAATGTATCTTCTGCACATTTAGTTGGAGTGGAAGATGTTGATTAAGGGAGAGGAGATGCTCGGGGCTAGTTGCAATCCTAGGAAATGTAATGAGTTAAATTATTATGCAAACGAAGTCTCTGTGCATGTGCATACACATAAGCAAAACACTTGGAAATGTGTGCCGGGGACAAGCAGCAAAGGCATCTTATGCAGAAGACGATGATGATTCAGATGATGAAGATGATGATAATGTTGCTGTTGATGATGTTGATGAAGCAGCAGCTGTTGCACTTAGGGCAAGTGTCTTTTAAAGCACTTGCAATGCCGACAACGAGCACCTTATAACATTTCCTCACTCAACCCTGCCTCAGACCCCGCCTGCCACCAACTGCCTACCTCTTCCAAGCAACCCCAAACAATGCCTTGCACGCATATTATTCATGGAATTCTGCATCATATAATTGGGTTGCTTCACATTTCAAAGCACATGAAAAGTTGAATGATATCAATTGATGTTTGATGGCGTCGATACAGTAGGCAGGTGGACAGCTGTTCAAATGATGAGCATTGACAAAAAGCCAATTTGAGGAGAAATATACAATGTGAAATTTCTATTGACAAAATGTTGTCAAGCATCAACAAACACTGTCGTCGGCCCATTAAAATGAGAACTTAAACATTGATGAGAGGAAATTGAATACATTGTGATGTATAATTGTCGATTGTAAATTGATAAAGATGGACAAAACATCTTATATCTTAAGTTAGTTAGTTAGTTGGCGATAAACTATATTCACAGGTTTATGGAAGTAGTTTGTGACAGATTATCTATATAGATGGTTAGGCAGTTATAAAGAATATTTGTCTGATCGAGTTTATACCTGTAAGCATTACAAAGTGCAGTTGATTTGTATGTATGATACTTTGTAAAATCTATTTTACCTCAGATATTGATATTAATCAAGCAAAAAGCAGAAAAGTTTGTGCACATATGTATGATAGACAGTATTCCGTAAGTAGCTACAGGGTATAATATCCTGTTTAGTGCGGGGTATAAACATAGGAATTTAAAACCTCGTTGATCTGTAGACTTAATGGACTCGCCACTGGCAAGTACCCGACTAGATTAAGTCTGGTATTAGCACCAGCTCCTTGACCTCAAGAGCTTGAAGCTATGGCAAACGCATTTGAGAGCTCATTAATTATGTAGTCGATTGTCAAGCATTCATGTGGCTAAGCCTGATAAATGCAGCACTTTCATCAACCAAAAGAATACTCAGCCGACTTATGCGCTGTGGGTGTATTTAAATATATAATATATAAAACATAAAAGCAATTAAGCCGGGAAAAGTCAAAATGCGAGGTATGTATATAAATATATATCTACACTCAAGCAAAAATTCGCTGCAAAATGGAATATAATTCCTGTCGTTATCATATTCAAGTTTCGCTTAAACAAAGTAATATAAATATTAAATTCATTTAAAATACCATTTAAATAATAAACAATCTCAATAGCAATAGAATTACGCAATTATGCCCTTAATTAAGAAATTTGGAAACTCTAAAATCATTTAAAATAAAAAAATAATGTTGTGTGCTTTAATATATAAGTATTTAGCCTATAT